ATGCTTGAAGAATTGGCGATTAAAAGAAAAACGTCAAATAAATGCACAAGAAGTTAATATATATGTTCATTAATGATGAACAAGGTAAAAAAAGGAAAGTCAAATGTGAAATTACAAAAAGAAAAGTTAAGGCGTCATATGTCTTAATTACAATCCACTCCATACTGAACGAATTCGTTCCCTAAGTTTTTCCCAATCCTCGTTCTGCCGAGAGGAAGTGATGTTCAATTCAGCCACGACATCATCATCAATTTCCAACTTCTTGTACTGCTCGACCAAAGACTTAGTTTGCTCAATTCCTTGGGAGGCGTTGCGCTTTTTAGCAACCATTCTTGCCTTGCAGTCGTCCATTTTGGCCTGAAGTTCCTTCATCTGAGCAACCAAACTAACCATCAAAGAGTCTTCAATCATGATTTCGGAAGAGATTTCTTTCAACTCGTCCTCAGCCTTGTTGATCTCCGGACGCAATGACTCTTTTTCAGATACGGCGCGAAGATATTGAGTACTTTTGGCCTTTAGTTCAGCATTCTTGGCCAACAAGGAGAGGACCTCGGAATGGATAACTTTCAACGTCGCTTTAAAATCGGCAGAAAGATTGAGCGACGGAAGTGTCAGTGCTTGCTCCAACTTTGCATTCAAATGCTCAAGCTTATCCTTGTGTCTGGCAGCACTAGTCTTACCAACGTCAATATCCATGAAAGACACGTACTCAAAAATCGACTGCTTGAGAAACTTCAAATCTTTCTCTGAAGAAGTAGCAGGACGACCAGATGGAGCGGGGCGAGATGTCTTGACTTGCCCCCAAGAAGCGAACAAGTTTTGGATGTAACGCACAATCTTGTCAACATTCTGCAAAGAAAATTGCCAATATTGAAGATTCTCACTACAACGAACAAGATGGAAATAAAAGTGAAGCAAAGATTACCTCATCAATAATCGTGGAAGATGGCATATCCTCAGCCAAGTTTGCCACCTGTGGCTCCACCATTCGTGAGGACTTCCCCTTGTCTGAGCGAGAAGATGTTGCCACAACGGGCAGACTCATAGGAGCATCTGCAAAACTCAAAAGCAACAAATCAAAAACCAAATAGCACAAGCAAAGGTAAAGCATCAAAAAACTGAATTATCTTCTGCTTCGATGTTTGGGGGGTTGACGCCCTGGGAAGAAGGTGACTCATCCATTGGTTGTGATGATGATTCTGGGATTGAAAATGTCTCTTTAAGCGTAGTCCCTTTATCAACTGGTTTGGATGAAGCAGCCTCAGCGGAGGATGATGGAGCAGGAGCTGTCGACGCCAAAGCCTTTAAAGGAGAGGCTGAATTTTTCTGAGAAGTCCAAATAAATCATCAGCACACAGAAAAGTTTCAAGTATGGAAAAGTATGCTTGTGAGTAAACCAATTTAATTACCTTCCTCCTGATGATAAGAGGGGTGTCATCATCATCATCAACATCATCCTCCAGAATGGGAGATGTTGAGGCTGGCCATTTGTGGCTTGGGGCACTCTTGGCTGCAGTAGGTTTGGTAGGGAGAGAAGAAGATGGACGAGCAGACTGTTTAACGCGACGAGGAGGAGAAGGACTCCGGATAGACAAAGGAGTGACTAAAATAGGAGGAGGGGAAGAAATGCTCGGCTAGTTCAGTGAATGAAAGGCACGATTGGCAGCAGTCGTAAACAATCTGCGCTTCACTGACGGCCAGAGCTGTTCAAAAAGGGGATGGATGGCGTGGCTAGAATTGAAGGGGGCTAATGAAAAATAGCTTGTTAAAAGAAGATTGCGAGCATTTATAGCCTCTGCCTCCGCCTTATTAATAATATGGAAGCGGTCAATTAAGTTCCTTGAGTAGCAAGGAGGAACAGGCCAAGTTTGGTCGAAACCAAGTTGGCGAGCAAAAAATTGGGGAGCATATATTTCTACCCCTGCCTTGGCATTGGTCCCAGTTAAAATATCTTGAAATAACTCCCTCTCGATTAAAAACTGGATCCAAATGAGCAGAGAGGTGCTCGCCCTGTCTATAATGGAGGGGGGATGCACATAGTTTGGAGTCAAAAAAGGAGGAAAAGGAAAGAAGGAAGGGATTGAATCCAAAGAATAAAAGAATGAAAAAATGTCCCTTCTAGACATATTTACAGGAGCCAAGGGCTCAATGGCTAGCCCATAGCAGCTAGCAGAAGAACGAGAAATTGATGGAGCACCAAGTAATGGAAAATAGGATCTCAACCACAGTTGAGTGAACCAAAGAGGTCCACTACCAGTGGGAGATGCATCATTCTTCAATTGAGTTTGAAGAGAAGCCAGCCTCTATAAAGGGCAGCCAAAAAGAAAGAACATAAATTCAAAGGCCTGCCACGCGCCAATTCGTGCGCTATAAGTAAATAACTCAGGGAGGGCTTTATGCTTGGCACATACAAAACATATTTACAAAGCCAAACCAGAAGAAAGGCTACTCGCTCGGTATGAGAAGGCTCAGCGCTCGAATGGTTATGAAGGGCTTGCAGGCTTGAATAAGACTCAGTGTAGTTTTTACCAAACTTTGGGGCGCCACCAGAAACCAAGATACCAGGAAAAATGGTATCGCCCAAATGTGGTAGATTCACTAGGGCCCCAACATCCCTTAAAGTAATAGACATGGGGCCAAGAGGGAAAACAAAGGTATTATATTCAGAAGACCAAAAACTTAGAGCGATCGAAAAAAGTGCTGAATCAAAAGTAGGGGGTTGAATAGAGATTTCTAACAAATCAGAAATCCTAGCATTATCAAAAAGTGCCTTAGTAGGACCATGGTCCACAAGGCGAGCATGCCACCTACAGAAAACTACGTCAAATTTGGGCCAAGTGCGAATACCTCTTTCGCGAAGTGGCCCCAGCGACAGAGAGTTTAGAAATGGAGGGCCTTGAGTACAAGAAAACAGCTGGCCCACCGCCGCCTGTTCGACTGCCTCTGCATTGTTGAAGAAAGGACCTAAGTAGATCTCATTGAGTTCGACATTGGCAGGCGCGAGAAAGTTCGGAGTTATGTATGGACGACTCAGAAGTTTCTGAAAGTCATCAAAACTAAAGGAGTCGCCAGATTGAGATTGTGAAGTAGCCATTAGGAATGAAACGAAGTTTTTTCAGAGTTACATAGCAGGGAAGCAAAAAGATGAACAGTAAATTGTGGGAGAGAAACGCGAAAAAGTGAGGCGTGATTTAATGGTGCAGTGAAATGGCGTGTTTGGGGGTTATAAGGATTTGCAAAGCGTCGCACATTTTCAAGCTATAGAAGAAAACAATGATTGAAATCCTTGGAAATTCCGAATGTTGCTGGAAACACAAAGTGAATATGGCAAAATTTAATAATTGGTATTAATTCTGCCATATTGGGGGGTAATTGTTGACACATAAAAATTCAGTCCAAATCGAACGGCTCAAGGAATGAAGCCCAATTAGAGGATCCCCAAATCAGATAGCCCAAAGAACGAAGCCCAATCAAACAATTCAAGATGAAGGCCCAAATAGGGAGACCCAAGAACGCGATAACACCATCGCCCAAGTTTGCAAATCGTCCAGAATCTGAGCGAATGGAGTGCCATGCAATCGCCCAGAGCTGTTAGTCTATTCTCGCCCAAATTTTCGAGTCGTCCAAGGTCTTAGCAAACAAAAAGTGTTGTGGTTATCAAGAAGTGCAGTTATCAAAGCAGTTATTAAAGCAGCCCTATCACGTTCCATGATTCAAGGAATTCAATCGAAAACGGTTGAACGACGAAGAGTAATGGCAGCAGTTAAAAAAGGCAGTTTCATGACAAGTTGGCCATTACGAGGAAAGTGGGCAGTTGTAGAACGATCAAGCAGTTTTTAGGCGGTTGGTTACAAAGAGATCATCCAAAGAGTATAAAAGGAAGAAAAGACACAGAGCAAAGTGACCGAATCAAAAACTCTAGAACAGAGAACATGTAATTTTAAATTTCTTAGCTTAGATTTAAACACTTCTTTCAGTAACTCATGTGCTTGCGCCCCTTGGAGACATTCTATTTTTAATTTCCAATTGTAAAGTCATTACCAATAAAAGAACACCCCTTTTTGGGACTTTGTCTCAAGAGGTTTGTCCCTTACACAATCGTCTGATCCCTTTTAATTGTTAGCGACGAACCCGCGCGAAACAAGAACAGTGGTTGAATCTTACTCACAATCTCACATGGCTTCCCTCTCTCTCGGTTGCCTCTCTTCTCTCAACTCTTCTCTCCATTGCTACAACACATACACCACCCCTAAAACGGTTGGGAGATAAATATATATATAGGTTAGTTTAGGTCACTCTAAATGGGCCTAGGGTTCACTAAGCGGGCTACCAATTAACCTAAACTAATGGCTCAATATTCAACTCCATATTAATCACTAAATGGTCCAACTAACCAAATAATCATCCAACCCAAATCCGAACCATCCAAAAGTGTAGTTCATCTCCGAGTCGAGCCCAAGTCCATGGTGTCGATAAATAATCCGACAACTGTTTTAAATCATCGTCCGGATTATTGGGTATCAAAAAACCCACACTTTATTTTAGTTTTGACACTACTACCTTTCTATCATAAGTTAATGAAAATGTTCATGTAGTGGTGCTTACGATTGTAGTGGCATGGTGGCTTGCGGGAGATTGGGAATAATGATTAAGATTTTTCTTTTTTTCTAAAATTTTTGTTGCCTTGGAAAGGCTAGTTCAACAAACGCGTTTCTGTCCAGTTAGATGATAAAGACAATGTACTAACAGATTTTCACGCCACCTCATATTTCTGATAGCCACGTGAGCATTTCATCTAATTTACCAAATGGAGGCAAACAGAATGTCTAGAATGAAACAAATTGAAACTTTAGTAACTATGTTGGAACAAAAAAACTTCGGCGACCAAAGTGAAACAACACTGTCAGTTGTGTGATTAGTGTTTTTGACCTGCACATTTGTGAAGATTGATGCCAAGGGATGAAAAACTTGTTACTTATTTCTTTTTTTCTGATATTCAGGTGTTATGAATAGCCTATTCTCTGTATATGGTATGGTCTCAAAGAAAGAACTATATTTTTTCTTTTTCTAGTTAGCAACGACTTAGAAAGGTCTAACATGTCTTTTCTTTTGTTCAGATATATACGGTGATCTGATATCTCGAAGAGTTCATATTAGTGATGCCGAGAAATTTGCAGAAGTTTGTCCGTGCCCTTGTAATGGCGTTGGATGGGGTGTTATTTGGTGAGCATATATATATATATATTCATTTTCAGAACGTGTTTGGTTAAGACTGAAAAATAGTAGAATCACTTTCTACAAAGTAAAGACTTATTTTCTACAAAAGCTAGTTTTCGTGCCAAACAAAATAACTTAAAAGTTACTTTCGAGTTTAGTCGAAATTGCTCTAAGGGCCACATGGTCGCAATTTGATCTCACATTTCATTTTGTTTCCTATTTATGTTACATTTTTTCTGTGTAATTATACAATATCAATTGCAGGGGATTTGTTTCTTTCTTATTCCTTTGTGGGGCGATGTATATTGGTCTCGTAATCTTAAGGTAAAACTGCTCATTCGCTGTTTCTCCTGCCAACCCAAGTGCATTGTTATTTTTTGTATATTGTTTAGGATAAGCTGTTAATTGTGGAAAGCTGGACAAATACGTGCCTTGACACCCCAATTAGAATCACGCAACAACAATTGAAAAAGAAAAATCCCCCATTTATATGAACCCTAGATTCCTCCCCAATTGAAACCACAAGAATGTACTACACTCACTGAATTTGTCCGAGTGATTGTTCTTGGACCACATATTCTTTCATGCGAGGGATACCAACAACCAAGAAGTAATATATTGACTGATTTGAATTTTGGTCCTTTTTTCACATTTTTAGGTTTCAATTTTGATGGGTTGGAATTTTTGAATGGGAATTGGTTAGAAAATTCCAACTTTTAGCAAAAACGTTCTCGTGGTTATATAATATGACCATATATTTGCTTATAGATTTTTCTTCATTTTTGTGTTGGTTTTATATAAATTACTTTTATCAAAGTCAATTGAAATTTACTGTTAATACTGAAGAAGGTTAATGCTTTATACTACTATAAGAGGTTCAAAATTATATTTACAAACTTCTTGCATAATGAAACACTGATACCAGTTTTAGATGAACCAGTAGCATTAACATGGCTGAAAAGGGATGTGGGTGCTTTGTTAATCACAATCTGGTTTATGGTTGCATAATAAAAAATGTTTACAGAAGCTATTAATCCCAGAAGATGCTTGTGTATCCATGTCTGAGCATAAATCAGCAGAACTCTAATTCCATCTGATAAAGCTTCAGCATTAATCTACTTTCTGTTGGATGTTGTTTGTCCTGCAAAGTTGGCCATTAATAATAGTCTTGTTTAAAATTCTAGGATGCCGGTGAAGAATTTTCGATGAAGAAGTGAATCCCAGGGTTCGTGAAAATGGGGGGTGATTTGGAATCATTTTGGGGTTTCTCAATTGCTGTTATGTGGTTCTAATTGGGGATTTGAGTTTTTGATTTGGAGGAGGAGAAAACATTATTTAAATAGTTAAAAGGAAAATGCCACTTCATTATTAGTGTTTTTGTGTAGCTTTCCACAAATGATGACGTGTTTTGCCACGTTGGATTTCTATCCGACATGTGGAGTTTTTTGTCCAGCTGGAGAGGGGGAAGTGAGATGAGTGACGGATGGATAATGTTATGTATAGTTGAGTGAGTACTTAGTAACCCTTTATAGTTTAGTGAGCAAGTAGTAACAAATACAAATATCAGTGAGCAATCATTTAATTAACTCGATATAGTTAGGTTGTGAGCTTTTGAGCATAGGGGCATACTTAATAACAGAAATTCTGCGTTGAGCTAAAAATTAAGTTAAAATGAATTATAAGGACTTAGAGCTTTAATCCTGCTTTCCCGCTTCAATCAAAAAGAGGGAAGAAAATTTCCATTAGCAAGGTGTTCTAGGGAAAGAGTAGCGATCTTCTTGTTCTTGTATGGCTCTAGTTGGATTCACATAGATATTCAACCATGTGGTACTTTATTGTATGATCTGTGACTCTTATGCCCTCATCCCAATCGTCCCGTGGAGGAATATGTGCATCTACCATTTTATCTGCATAAACATCATAATCTGCTTCCAGAAAGCCATACGGTTTGAAAGAAGCTTGTACAGTTTGGGAAGGGTTTCGACCCTTCCAAAGAGAAAGCAGGCATACTTTATTATATGGAACAGAAAATGAATGAGTTAGGACCAAGAGACCCTTTATATGGATTTTAATAGTTAACAATAGATATTGTGAATTATTATGATCACATGTTGTGATGAATGTATTCGATAATGCAGCTAGGTGATCTTCTTCCTGAATTCAGCATGTCCCATTTCTTAATGTGTCGGGAATCGAACTACCTCCAGCAATCTCAGCGAAAGCAGGTTCGAAATTCATGGGGTTTTTGGTCTTCTTTGGCAGGCAAAATTACTTGAAGAACTCATGAAATTATTGTTACACCTTTTGGATGATGACTGAATTGAAACAATTGAAACAGTGTCCTTTTTGTTGAAATTCCAAAAACACCCTCCCCAAGGACTTCGTGCTCCCTACTATTATCCGCCCTATGATCCCTCGTTACATGTAATGCGGTTCATATTATTTTTCATCAATGACGTAATCGAGTACAATTTTCATAAATGAGTGATATGGAAATTTGAATATTTGTTGATTTTGATATTATAATAAATAATTTTATTTGGAAGTTTAGACTTGAAAAATTCTAAAACTTCCATGTGAGTCTACTTCCCCAAATACCAACCCCAACTCACCCCTACTTGTCCAACAACACAGAGAGCTTACTTATTAAATGCTATAATATCTTTTTTCATTAGTCTCCCCTCCCATTAAATAAAATATTGGGATAATTTCTAGATAAGAGAAAAAAATATATTTATTTTTAAGGAAAGGACGACTTGAATAGTTGGGTTGAGTCGAGCCGTATCTTGTGCCAATTTAAAGAGGCTTTCATTTCTTATAACATGGGATTCAACTCTGGTACGCGTAGTTGTTTCAGTAAATTTAGAAATGAAATGAGAAGAATGTTTTATTTTTTATTTGTATACTTCCTAATCCTATAAAAATAGAAATTGAGATTAAAATACTATCGACTAGAATTTAATAGAAGTAAAAGAATAAATTCACCGCGATTTTAATTTCACACGTTAAAATTCATGTGTTACACGGAGCATTTCTTAAACCATTTAGGTTGATCATCCTTAATTATTTACTTCGTACTATGATCAATTGCATCATATATAGAGTTGATATCGATTGACATGTTTGACTAAGCATAAAAATTTTATTTGGTAAATAAATAATTTTTCATTAGGAAAGTGAAAATAAGTCACCCTATTTCGATGTTAGAATTAATTTACTTGTATCAAATGTCTTATCTAATTTTTGACCGACTTGACAAGTGACGCCCCCTATTGGAGGGGCACCTGTCCACTTCAATAAATGCGCGACACTTGTCAATTCGGTTATCCATTTGGTAAATGATTTGGTACATATAGCATCTCCCTTCAATGTTAATATAAAGCTTACCTCATAATGTGTAAAAGGAAGGCAAAAATTTATGTTCAATAAAAAAGATTTTTTTTTTTTTTTTGGTAAAAATGGGAAAAAAAAAAAAAAAAAATTGGGTTTATATACAAAATATTTTAGAAAATTGGTATTTCACATCCACCTTTGTTACATATACATCCGACTCCATATCTATCACTGTTAAAATTTTAAAAATTATTATTTTCATCTACATCATATTCTAATATTGTTTTTATTAAATTTACTCATTTTAACACTATGCCATGTTTGGCCCCCATTATTTCAAATTATGATGGGTGGAACAGTATTTTTTTTGGAGAATAGGTAGTTGAAAAAGAAGGAAATTTTTTTGATTTACGTGTAATATTATTTTATAAAAAATTGTGTTGTTTAAAATATGAGAGATTGAAAAAAATGAAAGAAAAGGGGGCCGGCTATGCATCTACACTATTTTTGCATATCTATATCATCATAATTACTTTAATCATTTTCATATATCTATCCACATCATTTTTATATATCTACACATTCACACCATTTTTATTTATTTATCTCACCATTTTTATATATCTAGTTATCATAATTCCTTCCATATTTTCGATCAATGTTATCATATGCATTGTCAAATTTCTTTATTTGCTTTGATAATCCTAGCAAATTAGGGTGCGTTTGATTTGCGATTCTGTTTTCTATTTTGAGGGATTATTTTAAAATTGTAGAAAACGCGTTTGATTTGTTGTTCTAAAAAATTATTTTTCAAAACAAAAAACTAGAAATTGCATTTGGTTTAAAAAATTTAAAAATAATTTTATGACATTTTTTTCAATTAATTTGATTATTTAGTATGACATCAATTTTATGTTAATATGTGATAAAATATATATTTTAAAGTGGTATTTGGGTAGATTTTGTGTAATTTATTAATTATTTTAATTGGAAAAAAATTTAAGCTTATTTTCTTGTTTTGAGTTTTTTGAAACCAATCATAACATTAAAAATTAACAATATGACTATTTCACTTATATCGTTGGTGAACCAAACTCCTAAAGTGACGATGTCATGGAATCAATTATAAGCATCGGAGATCGTCGTTTGACCTATCTTGCGGTTGGCCCTGAAAAAAATAAACAGAAAAATGTTAAAGAAACATATATGAGTAACGTAGCGTACTTTACTAATATCATGAATATTTACCCGGGCAAAATTATTCTCCACTCTGTCTCGAATGCTTTCAATTTGGCATGGTCCACCTCCCAAAATAGGTTGAGGAACATTCTATCAACAAACCTCCTCTTCTTCGTCTCGACCGTGAAGGGAAAAATGACGTACTGCGATGACAATCGTGGCCTCCGTCACCCTCTCCTCCTCCGTCGCCTCTCCCGTCCCTATCGAGACCACCTGTTCTCGCTTTACGGATAACAAAAATGATTCTAATGCATCATCTGTCTAAAACTGTGGGTGACCACCCTCTCCGCCACCCTTTCTGCTAATCCATCGTCTACCCGCAATATCACCTCGGAGCACTATAATCTCATCCTGGAGGTCTACGATGTGGCCACGTAGCACTCTAATATCGTAGGATAAGTCATCGACCATCCCCATCACTTTCGCTCTAGATCGACGGAGGTGATGTCCTCGAGGGAGGAGATACCTTTGGTGGAGGTGATCGTCGATCAACTGGACCAT